ATAGAGCCGCGACGCTAACAAAATACATTGTATGGACTCCGAACGATTTATTCTCTTCACATAACCCTACGCGTATTCTGTAAAACAATATCTTTACCGTTGACGCCGATGGTTACCGACGTTATCGTTGTATAATTATTCATCACTCAACAACTATCATTGTTTACTTATATTATTGAGAAAACAGACAGTACTCGTCTATTTTCTATTTGTTTTGCAGAAGGGTAAAAATAAATAAATTACATTTTACGTGCTTTTTCACGGACAGACCACATGGCTATACATGGTAAAACTTTTAATCTAATAAGGTGTATAATAATTTAAGTTAAACCGTTTTAAAAATAACTTTTTAGTCGACGTAATGTAGAAAAAAAATGAATAAATAAGTTTATTACTGTTATTTTTAAATTACTATATTATGTAGGTTACAAATTAGCAATTTTCTTTTCTGTTTCCTATGTAAATATACTTTTTAGTAATCAAAATTTCATAAACTCTCTGAAACTGGTCTAAAATAAAATAATAATAACTTTAATAAAAACTACTTTGATTACTCTAAGTTTAGCTACTAACAATAATTACTTCCCAAATCAATGTAATACAATATAATAAAATATCCATGAGGTTTTTTTTACATCGTTATTTCTTACATTGATTTTATAAAATGAAAAATTAGAATAATATAATCTAGAATAGAAAATTTATTCCATAATCAATTTTCCTACCATATTATATAGTGTAGTAGTATGACAAGTGACCTAGTTTGAAATGCGACTACGCGAGATTTAATGATTAAAAACAAAACAATTAAATATGCTGTATTTACTATCGTTTTTATTTCACTATTTTATTTATAAACTGCATAACTGCATGATAACTGTAAGATTTTTGTTTTTCAGTATGAAAAATTTTTTAAAAATACGCGTTACACTATCTCTTCAACTGGAAAGCTCAAAAAGGAAAAACCCTACTTGGTGACTTCCGGGATAGAATTCAGAGTTGTTTAACATACTAGCAAAAATAAATACACTCGGCAGCTTTTCTTCAAAGTACAGTAATAAAGTAACATATGAAAATATGCTCATTTATGTATATTAAATAAAGATAAGTTGCGTTATTGTGAGGTTGTCAATTTTATATAAGTTTTATTAGCAGTACATACTTTTTACATACATTTTTGAAACAGCAAAATTAATGACAGTAAAATGCTTTTGATTACAATAATTATTATTATTATGATTATCCTATTGTACATGGGTATGTGTACATGAATATCAAATGCTCGATTATAGTAAATATTTATATATAAGCATGTGTCTCGTTTAAGCAGATTATTTTGGTATTTTTGGAAAGTTTAAGAATGTTTTCTATGAATTTTAAATTTTCACTACGTTTGATTTACTATAGTAAAAAAAAAGTCAAATATGATCTCAAACTTTCAAGGAAACCTTAAAAATAAGAAACTTATCATCCCAATGTCATCTATTGTCCGTATAGGATTTTAATTATTAGTTGAAGTTGTGTTTTTTATTCAATTATAAGTAGTGATTCTAAATATTAGTATTTATAATCAATATTATTAGTTATATTTATGAATAGGCTAAATGTTTTGGTTTGAAATTAAATTAGATTTAAATTTGACAAGAATGACTGTATAATTTACAATTATATATATATATATATATATACCTATACAGTGGTACCAAACACGTACTTTTAAGGGTCAGTTCACCCTTTCATTTAACTATAGTGGTGGGTGTCTGGTGTTTGGGTGGGTGTGGGGTGAATTAGGTGGATAAATTTTCACTCTAGTTAGTAAACCTTAGTAATATACAAATTAAGTGACAGTCGATCTATAGATGGTAGGATACTATGATGCGATAGAGCAATTCGTTTATCAATGCACGTCTTTATACCATATCAACTTGATATTATCAAGTATAAAGACGTACATTGACATTTATATCTATTTCGCACACATGATGAAGCTTAACGCCTCTCGATTTTCAGTGTTTAAAATTGATTATACAGCATGCAAATACATCTTTTAAACATTTTAAGATAGTTACTAAAATTACCAATAGCCCCGTGAAACATTTTTGAAACACCTTTTTTTTAATTACAGTTGTTAAAAAAATGAAACAAACTGTTTTTTGTTTTACATTTCTTTAATTTTAATAACGTATTTTGTATTTAAATAATTAAACCTGTATTTAAGTACGCTTCCAATCGATATGAAGTGTTTTTTTCTAAAATCACTCTGAAGTACATAAGCAATAAGTAAGGTAAATAGGTAATAATTAATACCTAATTTATAATTATCATTTTCAGTTTGTATGATTATTGATTTATGATAAAATATGAGGCATTTTACTCGATCATAATTTATATTATTATTATTATTATTATTATGTGGTGTTTTAAGCGGCACATTTAACATTTTAACAATAAATACAATCGTATTCGAAAATAGACTAAATAGTGCAGGCTGTCGGTTATAAACCCTTACCCCTCACCCCCCATGGATACACCCCTGCTGAATAGTACCTACATAGGTACCCAATAGATGAAATTGGAGTAATAAATTGCGAGCGAAGATAGCGACTTTATGATGGTTAAATTTACAATATAATCATTCAATCATGTAACCTATCATTATTTTAATCTAACTTTGTGGGTGGTGGTATTAAAAATTTTTTATACTTTGCGCCACCAAATAAAATACATGTTAGCGCCACCGCATAAATATATAAACCCATAAACTAGGTACGTAATTTAACAATGATATTACTTACACATAATGCGATCATAATTGAGTACAGTGATCGGTATTAATGATCGTTCAACGCCTAGGTTAAATATATTTGAAGTGGAACGCGCATTGTATTTACATGTTTCTATATTTATTCATAGTAGCTAAATCTGCTAAGTTCCGAAAGTCGAACGTCATAATATACATGTTATGATTTTTGAAACATGATTTTCAAAATAATATAACACTTTGAATTGCAATAATACAAAACAAATATATATTATTAGGTAATTCAAATACATTTTTTTAAATAAATCATATTTGTATTCGTACAATGATTTGAAAATATAATGATCGTTATAATATTTTTTAGGCTTAGAATGGGCGTATGTAATTCCCGTAAAAAGTGACAAAAAAAATTAATAAATATGTAATTTGCACTACGTTCAAAAAGGTATATATGTAATTTACGTCACGACCGATCACAAATAGTAATATGTAATTTAACACACAAATTTGGTCAAAATTGGTTTATCTAATCAATCGGGGGTATTCCGAATAATAATTGAAAATTACATCGAAGTAGATGAGTAAAAATCGGGCCAGTCCGATATTTACTGCGAGTTAAGTGTTCACACGTATAAATTTGTTTTGATATATTAAAATTGCAATGGATATTGGAAGCTGAATTAAAAGCACGAGAGAAAAATATTTATTATTTTTTGAAAGTTAAGTTCTTCAGGTGAATAATGGTTCAATTCGATGACGCTGTACTAATAAAACTTGCCTTGCAAAAGTGTATACTTCTTTAAAAAATATTTACGTGGTAAAAGAGAAGTTTAATGAACATAATGAACATGGCCAACCTAACGTAAAACAGAAATTGTATTCTAATAAATGCAAGAGAAAAGCCCAAGAAGATTTGATAACGAAACCAAGCAAATATTAATAATATATATTTTTTCTAATTCAAAAATAATTATTTGTTCAAAAACATCCACTGCAGCGTTTAAAACGTAATTATTGGCTGTTTTAACTTAACAAATAATTGTTTAGTTTCACTAAATAAAAAAAAAAAAAAAAAACTATGAATATAAACTAAATAATAGTTAAAATATAACTAAAAAATAATTACTATAATTGTTAAGTAAATAGTATGTGAAGTGGTGTACAAAGATAACAAATATTTATCACAACCATCATTTTAGTGTCTAATTATAACACGGATTTGTCAATTGAAAACTCTCAAATGCTCTACGAATATATTTTAGGTATTGATATGACGTTAAATAATTTAATATAGATAGGCATTAATAAATATATTAATATATTATACTAATTTTATTGATCAAACGTCAATAGAAGTAATGCCATTATTAAGGGACAAAACAATAGATCCTTACTCAGACCGAAACGAAAGAAGGAAATGCTGGAGAGACATATATTGTAAAATGAAACCAGCATTCGAGGAGCTGAATAATATTCTACAAAATAATATGCTCGTCCGCCATCGTTGAAATAATGCATCATACACTGAACAATTTTCGTTCAAATCGCCAACACGAAAACTATCGCACGATAAAATAACACTCGTGTGTTTTTCGATGTTTATGACGCGCGGTAAAATAGCGTATTTTCACCAGTCGTTTTTCTAATTCAAATATCTTACAGCGAAATAATTGATAATAATAAAACCAGATCTTATTTATTCTACACGCGGATCAACGTTCAGTGTTCGAATCGGAAACCGGACTTGGAGATCTTGAACGACGGATTTTTTTTTTTTTTTTTTAAAAACCATACATAACACGAAAACGATAAAACAATAAAGTGGACTTTTTTCATTCGGAACGCCGCAAGCCGCATCGGTGCGTTTTTTTCCCAATCGCGGCTATTGCGCATTACCAGCTCAAGGTCTCCCCGGTCGCGTTATCAACGTTATTATTATTACTGCTGTTGATGTTGTTGTCGTACGCCGGTACGAATCGTTGTTATCAATCACGTTTTGGGATGGCGATCGATTACAGAACTAACACGTTATAATATTGATTATCGTCGCGTTCCTAGGTCCGACGGGGTTACAGATCGGCTCGTTGTTTTTCAGTGCTTTCCTCCCCTCCCCCCCTCCGACACCGGCATTTTCGACGGTCGTACCGTTACGTTTTCGTTGGTGCCCACGTCTCTCGTCTCCGACACTCGAAACGGCCCGTGTGCAAACACGTAGAACAACTAGCTACCGGTAATGTATTTGTCCTCATGGCTCGGACGCGTCGCGCCCGCATTCGACATCGTTCGTCACACGTCCCCGTTCCCCGCTCGCCGCGTGCCCCCTTCGACGCCGCAGACGTGCGCGCGACACGGGGGACCTTGTCAAGTGTTTGGCCGTTATCATCACCGGCTCGCGGTTAGGAGATCTGCGCCGTAGAATGCACAGATAATTAACGTAACCAATAATGATCTGCCGCTACTGTAACGATCCGGGCGTTTCGCCGTCGTTATCGGAACAGTTGTTTCTCCTTGTGACCGCACCCGTGTCGCGTCGTCCGAATGCGCTTCGGCCGTACGCGTGTCATTGATTTCCGTTCACCCGCCAGTCGGCTAATCGTGCGCGCACCGGGACCCGTCCAATCATTTCGTCAGCTCACTTGTCCATGTTTCAGTCGTTCCGGTGGTGCCGGGCGTTCATCAGTGTCGTTCACCGTCTCAGCACGATCGCCGCGGCGGGTCACTGCTACGCTCGACCGAGTGTCCGATCGATACGGACCGACACGCGTTCCGCGACAAACATCAGTTCCACTCCGTCGTCCAGCGATCCCCAAAACGAAATGGACAAGTTCAAGTTAGCGTCTCGATACAAATATGGCGAATACAGCATTTGGTGAGTACTTAAATAATCAAGTTCCTGACCATCTAATTGAAAATGATTACAATATTTTTTGTTGTTTGAAATGGAAACTAGATTTTCATTATATATATATATATTATATACATATTTTAAATAATAAAGATAAATGTTTACATAATAAGTAACAGGTTTATCTGAAATTCTTTTTCTCATTTATTACATTATACAGAAGAAAATAAAACGGTCGTAATAATATTAAATGTCATGTTCATAGTAGGAGTAACTGAATTAATGTATGTTGTACAGGATTGAAATATCCAAATTGACCGCGATCACCAAACCTTTGAATTTAGGCCAAGGATTTCCAGATTACGAACCACCATCAAGGTTCCCTCAATTTTTAGCTGAAGTGGCTTCTGAAAATAACTTAAATTTCCACCAATACACCCGAGGCTTGGTAAATCAATAATTTTAAAATTATTTTTTTCATTAAAAAATATTATTATACAGGTATCTACTTTGTTTTAATTTTAGGGACATGTACGCTTAGTAAATGCTATATCTAAGTTATACTCAAACTTAATTAATCGAGAAATTGATGCTCTTAATGAAGTATTAGTGACTGTTGGTGCGTACGAAGCACTTTACTGTGCCATACAGAGTAATATAGAGGTTGGTGATGAAGCTATTGTTATTGAACCATATTTCGATTGTTATGAACCAATGATACGTATTGCAGGAGGGACTCCTAGATTTATTCCTTTGAGAAATGTAAGAATACAGCCAACATTAAGTTAATTACAATGAATTAAAATTAATATTCAAATCATTTTTTAGACAAAACCCAATGCTGAGGTATCTCATTCAAGTGATTGGAAACTTGATCCGGAAGAATTAGCATCGTTGTTTAATGCCAAGACGAAACTCATAATTATCAACACACCACACAATCCGTTAGGAAAAGTATTTGATTATGAAGAGTTGAATATGATTGCAGACTTGGCCAAAAAACATAATGTACTCGTTATTTCGGACGAAGTTTATGAATGGTTGGTGTATGAACCAGCAAAACATACTAGAATTGGTAGTTTAATCTTTCCTATATTTTATTCATCAAATTCTATACTTAATAATATTAATAAATATGAGATACATATTATAATTTTTTTTTTATGTTTTAGCGTCACTCCCAGATATGTGGGAAAGAACTATTACGATTGGTTCTGCGGGAAAATCATTTAGTATGACTGGTTGGAAACTTGGTTGGGCTTATGGTCCATCTTATTTAATCAAAAACTTATGTGTTGTTCATCAGACTGCTATTTATACTTGTGCAACACCAGTTCAAGAAGCAGTTGCTAGAGCATTTGAACATGAAATTAGTGTTTTGAATACACCAGAAAGTTATTTTCAAAATTTGTCTAAAGAATTAAAACCAAAAATGCTATATCTTTCTAATGTATTACAAGAAAGTGGCTTTGTGCCAATCATACCTGATGGAGGATATTTTTTAGTTTCTAAATGGACTAAATTTGGTTAGTTCAAATATGTTTTAAATAATATTAAAATAATTATTTACTCTGATCTAATGTATTCACTTTTTGAATTTTTTAGAAAATAAAATAGATTTAAGCGCAGAAACAGATAAATATAAGGACTTCAGATTTACTAAGTGGCTTTCTAAGAATGTTAAACTTCAAAGTATACCATATTCAATATTCTACTCTGAAGAAAGCAAAGTTTTGGCTGAAGATTTTATGCGACTGTGTTTCTTTAAAGTAATTCATTTAAATTAATTTTTCGTAATATCACTTCATGTCAATTTAATTCTAAAAAATGTATTTTATTTTATAGAAAGATGAAACGTTGAAGGAAGCTGAAAAAATTTTGTCAACATGGACCAGCAAATTATTATGAAAACATAAGTTCCAAATTTGCTATATATATAAATATTATTTTATGTTATAAATTATAAAACATGTTAAATAATATTCTTATTTCTTTTGTGGTTTATAATTATCAGTTTTCATATTATTTTCATGTTTGCTACACCTTTTTTTTATATAATTTTTATATTGTTTTTACTCAAGACATTTATATTGCTTAAAATACTACATTTAGAAGCAATTTCATTGAATCTATCAAAAAAATTATAAGATATAATGCCAATTATATTTATATATATAATCAATTATTTAACTTTCATTCAGTTCGTACATATTTGAAATATTATGTAATGTTGTGTTGTAGATAATTTTATAAACTATAATCAAATGATCAGTCATAACATCATATATTAATTCCATTATTTCTTACGTTTAATGTTCTGAAAAATTTAGTCTTGCTTTAATATCAACAACTTTCAGAAAAGTGATCACATTCTCATACGTAGAACATTAATATATTATATTATGTTCATTTTTTTTATCTAAATTTTATACATATATTTATATATTCAATGTACCAATGGTTGTTTTTTCAAAGTTTACAATATTAACCTCATATTTTATGGTAATTCGTGTACATATTACAATTGTTATTAACAATTTATAAAAGCTGTTTAACTATAATTTTCTATAGTTTGAAAAGCTTTTTTACTTATATGACCACTATAAGAATCTGATTTTAAATATCTTATATTTTGTTGGTACCATGATTCCAGCATTTGGTCTAATAAATACAAATGGTAAGGATTAGGAAAATAATACACGCAAAAGTAGTGATACTTGTAAAATGTGTTGCCTATATTAATATTTCCGGAAATTTCTTTTTAACCTTAACTTATTTTTCTCTATTTCTAGGTAACCTAATTTGGAAGTTTTTGATAAAAATATATTTCGGAAACATAATTTATTTAAAATAAAATGTTTTTATATTTTATTACAAATACATAAACAGTGTATTTTAAAAATAAAGTGTTATACTTTTCGAGGTACAATTACGAGTATATTAAATTATGAGCATTATTTAGTTTAACTGCGTTACTTTTAATAACTATGACAAAGATAATTATGCTTTCCAATGAAAATAGTTATAGCATTGATTTATTAATATACATTTACAACATATTGTTAAAACTGGTTACGCTTACGTGGACGCAGAGCATAGATATCGCTGTAATAATTTGCATTTAACGTGATAAAAATAGGTTTTCGATAATATAAAAATATTGATAGTTATTGTTTTTGTTGTTGAGAACCGGTTGATATCGAGTTGAATGTAAATGATTACAGCGTTGTCTAGTGGCTGCGTCCACGTAGGAGCTACCAATTATAAGAATTGGGATGTTGTTTCCAGTTATACATCCGTTTTGTTGAGAGTTTACTACTCCGTCTAGTGTCTGAATATGGACATTTTTATGATGTAATCGTTGGTGGTAAAAAAGGGTTGTTAATATTTAACGAAAAATCAAATTTTTAGTTTTCACAGGAATAGAAATCATAATTATTGAAATAAATTGATACCATCGTAAATACATAGAATACCATCAATAATTATTTCATAGGAATACACTGAGGTAAAACTGAATGTCTATTACAAAATAAGGGCAGCATCAAAACCTGTATGACTAATTGAATTGATGATTGTAGAAACGAATATTTAAACATATTTTTACACTCAACAAATAGAAACACACAACTAGTAAACGTTTTTATCAATATCTCAATCTCATACAATATGTGATTTGTGATGTCTCAGCAATCATCGATTTAATTACAATTAATAAATGTTCGTGAAATGCTTGAAACTTGAGAGTATAAGTAGTATAATAGTGAATTTTCATAATAATGTTGACAGTATATGACGTACATGTAGTATACTCTATGGGAACATTATTGGTCGTTTCTTTAGATCATTAATGTATATATATATAATATAATACATAATCGTAATGACTATAACATTTAAATTAATTTTACACATCTTAAAAAAAGATTAATGTACATATTATAATTGTTAATCGCAATGATATGTTTCTTACTGGAAACTGAGAAATGTAAATAGTACTAACTTACGTCTAATATATGCAGAATATATAATGCACGTATCCAGTTAATAATAATTATTATTATTTATGGTGTCCATGTTCATATTTCAGTGATAAGTTTAATTTGAAGCTATTTAACAATTAAAAATAATTTAGCGTCATATCATTATATTACGAAGAACATATTTTCGATCTTACTCTACTTTACTCTTATCTTTCAGTACGAATATTTATTTTTCTTACCAAATTTGTTCGATCATAGTCTTATAGCTTTCAAAGCATTAAAGAACATTGTAGTGATTTTGAAGAAACGAGAAAAAATAAGAACATGGAAAAAAAAATATTGAATCCTTATTTTTTTTCTTCCGATTAATATTTAAAGTCGTTGTAACTGGTTCATATACTGCAGTCCTAATGTTTGAACGTAACTCATAAAGGAGAAAAGATAGTTCAAGATTTTAGAACCTACTTATTGACCGGAATCAATAATAGTATTTATATAAAAATGCTAGTAGTCGCGACAGGAATCGCGTGATCGGCCTCCGCGCTTAATAATATGTTAACGCTTTTACTATTTATGCGATTGTCTATTCCCTATATTATAATGCAATTGTTGGTTTATTAATCATTTTTCCGTAATTTAAAATTAAACAATTATTGTTGATAATTAAGACTGATAATTGTTCTCATACACAATGATGAGTGTAATGCTGATTCGAATTATATACGAGTGAATTTGTACACGCGTACATACGTTGAACAATAATATAATTAAAACATTAAATAATGTAAACAAATATTTAATGCTTCAATCTCATCGTCGTAAAAAACAATCTAAAACCCATTTAAAGACAATCTCAGTCTGGTAAACAATAATGTGTCTAAGTATTGTCATTATTAATCAATCGTATTTTACCTAGATCGTATGAGACCAGGGCTTGCAAACGTTATAATAACGTTATGATTATAACGTTATATTTGATAAAAAAACGATTGAAATTTGTAAACGTAATTATAACGGAAAACGATAAACATAAATAAATAAATGACACAAAACAAAACGTAACGTTTAACAAAATATATATCATTAAACAAAACATAACGCAAAACGGTATATATTGTACTCCATTAAACGAAATAATTAATTTCCAATTATTTAATAATACTTAGTAGTATTCAATTATTTATTCGGTCCAAGAATTAATTTTATTCCGTATCCGGCCTATCCGGGAAATCCCGTATTAAATATTATTTTAAAATTTAATAAGAAGGTATTAACAGAATAATTTAATTGCCAATAGCTATTAATAATGAATCATTATTAATGATACTCTGATAATATTGTATTGCACTATCTGTACTACGGTCGAAATTTATACCATTCAAGTTATTCAACTATTATGTTCGGTGTTCAGTTTGCTTAGATTTGTTCAGTCGTCACTCGTCAGTGTTTGTCTAATTGTTGTCAAATGTTTAATATTTATATTTTATACTAATATACTTATAGTTTTAACGTGCATACGTTTTTTTTATATTAGTTAATTCATAGTTGAAATTCAAAATTTCAAAATAATAATCATGGGTTTTTTTTATATTTATTATTTTATTATAAAGTCCTTAGAGCCTAGGCAATTAATTAAATTTAATATTACATTATTATTTATTACTCTTAAGATTAATTATTATCATACTGTTTTATCATTTATTTTGTTTCCATTTTTTTTACAAACTACCTATGTATTGTAATTTAATCTGTATCACAGTACCCTATATTTTGTAAATAATATGTAATTGGGTTATCTAACCCATTTAATTAAATAAATAAAATAAAATAAAATGAATAAAATTATACGATATCTACTTAAAACTCAGAATGGGGAAATTATGTCCCCAAAAAAAAGGTCATAGTCACTTTTAAATTGCGGCCTGTATACTTTTCAAACAGGTAATTAATGTTTTTGAATTTTAAATAACGATAAACGCAAAAATTGTATAACGTTTTAATTCTGAATAACGATAAACACAAAAGTTGAATAACGTTTAAATTTTGAATAACGATAAACTCAAAATTTGTATAACGTTTTGATAGTAAATAACGTAAAACAAAATTTTTTTTCAAATGCAAGCCCTGTATGAGACTCATGTAGAAAATATACGAAAAACATGAATACATTATACTATCGATTGGTGATTGTGATATTCACCAAATTATGCTCGATTCCGTTAAACCGATAAAATAAGTTTGCGTTTATAGCAAATATGTATAAATAGTCCCATTGATTTTTGAACGTTCATTGAATAGGTCGATAGATAAAAAAATGTTTTACTTTCACTTATATTACTGAAAATACTTGTAGTTATATTTTTGAGATTTAACTGCATAGGTAATATATGTATCAGGTACACAAAACCATAGGCGCAACTAGAGCCCAAATATTGGGGGTGCTGAAATTACACAGCTCACACTAACCCGTGGGTGGCTACGACAACACTCCCTCCCTCACAAGTGACTTATCTCAATTTAATCATTAAATATATCACAACAACACACATACACTAATATTTTAATTTATAAATATTAACAAGCATAAATTGTAACATACCTATTTATTTTATTATATTATTTTATTTAGGTCTTACAGCACTAAGAAATATACAAATTAAAAAAATATTATATAATATACAACATATAATATTTATACTGGTATTATCTTACGATAACTAGTTGAATATTTTTAATTAACTAATAGTCATGAACAATTCATCTTTCTGATAAAATCATCAAATAAAAATAACTGCATGAAATAAAAAAACACTATTTTTTCATACAATTTTTCAATTATTAATTTTTTAACTGGGTATGCTAAATTAGAGCCAGGAGGTGCTATAGCACTCCCAAGCACCCCCTAGTTGCGCCTATGCGTGAAACACATTACCTTCAGTCAAATGCTCACCATTTTGTAGATTAAATAGGAGCCACAGTTGATATATATATGTATCTAGTATAAAATATCTACGCGATGATAATATGAAGATTAAGGTTAGGCCTCAAAATTTTTTATGAGGCTTACTTTTTTTGTATATATAACCATTTTTCGACTGTTTTGGTAGGTATTGTTTATAGTTTTATATAATTAGAGTTTTTATTGTAAAGCAACATTGACATTATACATGTATATATTTCTATCATTTATTTTATCATTCATAAGTTGCGTGTACTAAAATACCAAAATTTAAGAATTTATAAACAATAAATTCTTAGGTATAAAATAAATAATTCAAATGCGATTCCAATAAACTATTTATAATATTAATATATTCAAATAAAAAAAAAAAAATGTAAGTGTACTTATAACATTATAGGACCTAAATAGAATTTGTACACTGAGAATATTAATCATTGTCTAAAATGCATTTTCTTATAGTAAATAAGAATATAATAATTATATAAGGTAACATAATAACCATCTTAATAACCGTAACATAATTTGATTTTAGTTTTCTTATAAGTCATTAAGTTTAGGTATATATTGGCAAGTGATATTATATACCGAACTAAAATAAAGAAAAAAATACAAATAAAAACAAACAAAATTACTTATACTAAAAGTTGAAACACTATAGGCTTATGTACAGTGTCAATACGATTTTCAAAGCCACACGTTGTTATTATATATATGACTATTTAATTTTCTAAAAATATAATTAAAATACTATTATAACAATATCAGGAGATGAACACGGACAAATTAAAACAGAAACAACTACTTATTTCAATATCTATTGATTATCTAATCAATAGAAAAATGAAAATACGTGGAAAATGGACACGTAGCGACATTTTTTATTCAATTATATTTTTATACCAACAGTCAACATGTCGATTGAAATAAAATAAAAAATGTCAACGGTATTAATATTGGTATCGTCGACCGTATACATGATCGCGATCAAGAAACAGTAGTTATTGGGATCAAAGTCGAATAAAACAGTTTCAAGTGAACTGTAAATTGTGTTTAAATTGTAATGGTAAGTGAATTCGTAAATAACTACACTTAAACTGTATTTATAAAATGGTAAATCTATCAGATCAAGTACATTTAAAGTATATATATATCATTATTGAGAACAAAACTACATTTTTTCATAATAATGAAAATTTTTAGTACAAAAACACGAATACAATATAACAATATAGATGACTAATATAAATAACGATATGCGAAGACCGATAAATTATAATCCTAGTATAATGTAAAAATGCATACCGATGAATCGATAAAAAAAATTTATAAATTTATGTTCAACGAAAACGATTTATCGAAAACGCATGGGCGTAGTATGGTAGTTATACATCCGAGACGCGTTTAATTCAAAATTACTTTTAAAATACACAATATATTATAGCTAAATCATCGACGGAATCAATCGGCGGGTTTTGTTTATTTGTTTGTTTTTTTTTCAACAAGCAGTCCGTCAATTTTATTTTCCGTTTCAAAATAATAGTTAATATTTATAATACGTTCTACTAGTGGAAAAAAAATTATTATTAACAACACTACGATAACAGTAATACAAGATATCTAATACGCTATTTATAGTATATATATAATACATAAATGTAAATGTAGGTTTATGCTTGTGAGCCGTACTCATATATTAATCGCGGTGACAATATAATGTAATATCGGTTGTAATTGATCGCATTTACTCTCGAAGTAGGTAAAAAACGAATGCGAATTGCTGTGACTTAAGTAATAATAATAATAATAATAATAATAATAATAATAATGATTATGATGATAATAATAATAATAAAATCATAATAGCAATTATATAGCAACAGTGTTACATATTATAATTATGTTATATTTATATACAAAAAAAGGAAAAAATGAATTAAAAATAAATAAATAAAAATAGTTTTGAACAGTGGTATCACAACATGTGTATTTAAACGTTATGCTGTGCATTCGTACGACGTTTTCGTGTTCAATATGAACAAACAATATTACTTAATATAAATTGATGACATGTATAGGGATTTAATACGATCCTTTTAGCGAGTTAATCGTCGACGGCCGTGTAAATAAAAACGAAAATATAAAAACAAAAAGCGAAAAACCGCCGGACAAGAAGACTTAACATAACGGTTAATAAGCTTATTTCACGCAGACATATCGCAATATAGGCATGATATTATCAAAGAATGTATGAAATTTCATATACTCTGTGAAATTATATATATATATATATATGTATGTATGTATGTATGTATTAAGAAGATGAAGAGAAAAAAAAAACATAACAACAGTTTATAACATACATTACCGCTATGATAATACAAGTAAAAATAATAGTAAAAATAATAATAATAATAGTAATATACATTTTAAATATAATACACGTATATTGTTTTTGGCGCACGTGCGTAGCGGGAGGGTGAGGGAGCGTGAGGTTTTCTCTGGTTGGGGTGGAGGACAGGAATTTAATATTGCAATATTTTCGTTGCATAAACGTCAACTATATAATATTAAGTTATTTCATTGATATTGTATTTATTTTTATTATTATTGTCGTCGTAATATTATAATATTACCGTTACAATAAATATGTTCGGGGGAGGCGTCGTCTGCATATTATTTGTCTGTGCTCGATCAGGTACCTATATGGGGGGCGTACGCATGCTCGCATTATCAACCAGAAGCCGCGGACCCGTTCTGATAGTCGGCCCGCGGCAATAGCGCCTGTCTGACCACTAGGCACTCGTCCGTGTCCTCTTCCTCGACTTCCGGCAATGTCTCCATGATCGGCGGCGGTGCTTGGCTGGGCTGAAGTCCTTTGCCCACCAAGTAGTAAGTCATCAGCTGTCCTTTTCCCTTGACCGCGACCAGACCGCGCTGCTCGAACTTGAACCCGAAGTGCTGCAAAATGGTGCACGTCTCTTCCGTCACCTTTGGTTACCCGGAAAAAACAAACAGACGTGTTAACAAGTATAACAATGCGGTTATAATTATAGTATGACAATATACAGCCGTCCACGGAGGATATCGTTACAAAGCCGCCGATGGAACAACGTCGGTGACCGGAGTGACGTGGAGAAGCGGTTAAAATATGTTAAAATGTCGTATTGAATGTGAGGTCACGGCGAAATCGATCGTTTGTGTCTCGTATTATAATGTTTTGTGAAAAATACCTACACGTCATGTTTCAAGCGAATAGATAGACAGCACAAACGCAGAGGGATACCATTCGTTAAACGTGGCGTTAATTCAAATATTTTCAGAAACTTGTTTGATAGTACTGTAAGATTAAGGTTAACATACGTACATATAGTACTCATACGTAATGTACATAGTATTCGTACGGGAAATATGGAAATAAATACAAATATGTCCCAGCGGGTTTTCAATCATTGTGTGGTACAGACAACCTGAGATATTTACCAAATTTTAATTCACCGCAACCGTAAATTATCATTTACCAAAACAAGATACAAATAATGGTCAACGGCTGCATCCAAATTGCATGCCAAAAAAAAAAAAAATGTCCGAATTGCATGCCACGTCTTCGAGGTGCCTGTCCGAATCGTATGCCACGTCTTCGAGGGGTAGGCCGTATACCCACAAATTTATTTATCATACACTTATGTGCACACTTTCAACTTTATTTTGACTTAAACTCTTTATGATATGGTTATTACAACTGATTAGTTTCTAGATTGAAATATTTTTTACATCCGAGTAAACATTTCCATAAATTAATATTTACATTTTATTTTATTATTATGAACTATTGAACTATCTTCTTTATTAGTTAGTTATAAAAAACTCCACCGTATTTTATATTATTATTTATTTGAAATGCCATGTAAAAATATAAAATACATTCACTTGATTATCCTAAACTACGATCGTTTTATTTGACGTTTAATATTTATAGTGTCACCTTCTCCAATTTGGTAAACTATTTACTCGGATATAAAAATATTTCAATCTAGAAACTAATTGGGTTTTATTCATCCGTTTTTTTTTTAAAAAAGACAAAAATAAAGTTTAAAATGTACACATAAGTGCATGATAAATAAACTTGGGGGTACACGGCATGCAATTTGGACGGACCTCTCTAAAAGATGGCATGCAACTCGGTTGCAGCGGGGTCATCAGATAATAGTGAAGTTTACTACTTATCGATAACTGATATCAAGATACACGCGGATTAGTTTCTTGTTAAAACTTTATCAAAAACTTTATGAAAAAAGTATAAAAACATAAATATAGTACCTATATACAATAATAATGTTATAGAATTGATATACGTAAAGTTTCTGGAGAAAATGTAGGATTCATATCAAATTGATCCGTGTGCGTTGTATATACTCTAAGGAAGAATCATGTAGGTTTTATTTGGAGGAGGAGGTGAAAGGAATGGACTATAGAAATTAGGTACAAAAATGTTTTATAGTTTTCGGAAGCTAAGTCAAAAATTCGAAGCAGATTTGTGTCAGTGGAGAAATACATTGAATTAAATAAAGATGTTACAGCGTTACAGTGGAGCTGTCCATTTACGAGCTACCAGATTATTATATTATATAAAGTAAATGATGGATATGGCGGATATAAGACGTATTCATAGGGAGAAGGAGAAATTGTAAGCGAAGCGTACGAAACAAAAAGCAGAACTTCTCTGTACCATAAAAACTGTGAACCATACCGTAATCAGTTACCAAGGTGATATAGTATCAAGATATGCGTGAAGTTAAAAAACGTTATACCTGCAGTGTTGATTTGATATAACGATGCGTGAATAAGGATAAATCATTATTTTTTTGTACCAATTTATTTAGAATCAATGTTGTTTCAGCGGAAACTTTCCGTCTGACGGACTACGATAGTGGACTTACAAAATCATTATTTTTACATAAAAGAATCTACAAAAAAGAAATTCGACCGACCGAACACAATTTCAATACTATTTTGATTTATATATAATTTTATTTCGTTAACTAGATTTGTAAATGTCCAGGGATGGATATAAATGCAATTCAATTGAAAATAGACACGTTGGTAAACTAAACTTACTTGTATGCATCCTGCCTTTCCAGTGCTCTCCATTCTTGACGCTACGTTTACAGAATTACCCCAAATATCATAATGAGGTTTTCTTGCGCCAATAACGCCGGCTGTGATCGGTCCATGATTAATTCCTATAAAATTAAACATGATTAATTTTATATTTAATTCAAATACATCATATATCATTATAACAAGAAATAATACGTTGAGAGTTTTATTTAAAATTTCAATCAAAGTAAATTACGGTATAATGCATATTTTATTATTAATGTTATGATTAATTTGTAAAAATACAAAAAAATGAAAACGTTTAGTGAAATAGTTGATTTTTGATCATTGTCTTAGATTCAATAGAAATTCAAATTTATTATACATAAATATGAGTTTATCAATAATATCGGTAGTAACAACGAAATTACTTTTTATTTATGTAATTTGATTAATAACTTACAGAGATTAAAAAAACGGTATGAAAAGGAAGTGTTTATTATTTAGATTTTATAAAATACTATCTGCATCGACAGTCAAATTAATGTATACGTACCCATACATTTCTTTTGAAGAACATCATATTATTATTTATACGTAACACAAAAACTAAAATTTATTCAAATGTTAGTTGAAATTAAATTAACTCTGAAAGAATTTTTTGAAATAAAACATAAAGTGAATTATATATACTCGTATATAAAATAAATGGGTAGAGGGACACATATTTTTGGTTAGGCAGGTTAACTGATTCTCGTCCAATTGTAGAAACTACTTTGGTCTTGACTAACACATTTTTTACTTCTCCGATATAATATAATAATTTTACTAATTTTACCATTACGAAAATACAATTTGAAAAAAAAAGATATTAAATATATTTTACATCGAATGAAATAAACTAAATTTCTTTTCAATATACATACCCATTTTTAACACGAAGTGATTAAAACTTTGTTCATTTATGCCTTGAAGTGCTTTTTTCAAATCAAAAGCAAAATCGACAAGTAAAGCAAGATGTGCCCATCTAACTTCAATGGAATCTTCGGGCTAAAATATCAAATATTTATATATTTTATTAACCGTATATAATACTATTTAATATCTAATACTAATAATTTAATAATGAATCATTTAGAACGTTTTTCGGTTAGTTTTTTTTTTTTTACTGTACACATTTTATTTGTCTAATATTATTAGTTTTTATAATATTATGAAACCGAAAAGTTTTTTCAAAATATATACTTAAAATACTAACATTGAATATCGAAAAGTAATTAGTTATTATTGTACATTAGTATATTTGAATTTTAGAAGAGTAATTGTGGAATATTTCACTAAAATTTAATGAAGTATCTTCTTTCACGTGACACTTTTGAAACTTCTGAAATTTGAAATCATAAGAAATTATTATAAATAAAAAATTTATAAAATATATAATATAAATGTTATATATATAATAATTATTAGATATTATTTTCAAATATTTCTTGAATTAATATTAAGGAAGTTGAAGTTTTTGTTAGTAAAATATATACAACATTGACCTTTTGTAATTTTTAACATAAAATGCAAATTTTTCATTATTGCGCCTTTTCAGGAATTGCGCCCGGGGTGTAGGTACCTCTCATCCCCTACCCCTTGATACAATCCTAATCACAGTATCGCATAGTTGTTATAAAAACGTAACGAATTCAAAGCATTTACCTTCACAACACGTGAAGGGTTTAGTCCACTAGCAGCCATATAAGTCGAGCCAATTGTTTTAATCTTAATAATATCTTGATAACGTGGTTGTTCCAGAAGCTGTAGACAATTGAAACGTGTTATAATTAATATTTTTACGTATTTATCGAACATATATAATGATATTATATATTATACACTTACCGCGTCAAAATCAGATATGACTTCGTTTAGAAATCTTAAACATTCTAGTCCTTGATTGTTAACCGTCTCCTCCGAATAGAAATCTAAAACGCATCGTAGTTATATTAGTATCCTTTATATTATAAGTACACCTAACTCCACATTATGTGTTCTTGTGTCTGCAAATAATCGTTGTAGTTGAAAATTACCTGAAAAGTTTGGCATCGACGCGAACAAAACTCCGACTTCGGCATAACTTTGGCTGTACAGCTCTTCGTGCTGACGTTTATAACTCCCCAGGAAATGTTTGGCCACATGAGGTGGTAAAATATTATACACCAATGCTTCGTTTCTTCTTCGGATGTCTGAAGCCCTTTCTCTCTGCTCTTCCACTTCCGTCCGCCATAAATAAAGAACCCGCGACGATTTATCCATCTGCAGGATAGTAATAAAAAATTTCAAACGTTGCTCACGTTATAGTATCGTACTCGTACAAAAAAACAAACGCTTACGTTTCTGGCCAAAAACACGAGCGCCATTGTTACAGCTATGAGAAGAAACGATAGGGCGTACTTTGACGGTAAAACTCTGAAAACGATCAATTATTATTGTTACGAGTAGGTATATACCGTATTGATTGATGACGGTTTATAAAGCAGAACTAATTAATAATTTGCATAATAGAATGTAAACGTAGTGTGTGTGAGTGTTCAATTTGTTACATTATACTCTTATGTCTCACTGAGTTAAAAATACGCGAGTCGATTTAAAAAAGCTGAATAGTTATTATAGTGATATTTAAACGTAACACTGAAGAAGTGTATTTCAACCTAAGAGTATAAAATTAAAATTTATAAACGTTGTATTCAAATTAATTGTATTCGAATATTGCTATAAGAAATATAGGTCTATAAAAAAGCGTTCGAAAGAAACAAATTTTAAGCAATTTTTATTCGAAAACTCTACAAAAATTCCGAACAACTTTTTATGCAGATCAAACGCGTACGCGTTTCACATTTTTGGGTTTTATAGTACACGTGCTGCACATCCGTTTTCATTTTTATTCCTAAGAATACGATGTTTGAGAAAATTGATACACGCATGGTCGAAGATCTGTTAACATTTTTCAAGGGCCAATTAAAAAGAAAATAACTACCTTGTACAGAACATATGAACCCCTACATCGGCCCAATCCTAACGTGTAACTGCTTTCGTTCTATAACACGGACAAATAGGTAAACCATAGTTGGTTTGAAACGTAATTTAAATTGTGATTCAATGTTTAAATATTTTTTTTTGATTTATTACCACGAGTTAATCAATATTTTCATTAAAATTCGGTAATTTCTGTCGAGTTAGTGATATTGGAACTATTTACGTAACACTGAAAAATATGACGATACATTATTTCATTTGAGTTCATGAGTATTTCATGTGCACTTCTATCAAATAATAAATTGCTTATTATAATAAGCTTAAACTACTATTAAATAATTTTAGAGACTTGTAGTCCCTCGACCTCCACCGATTTCCATCGCAGTGGTTTTATAACGAAACCTTCGTCTCTCGCAACGGTGATTTCGAAATCACATAATGATAATTATTGTTATTACTTGAACGGCTTGTAAATTATCGAGTCCTCGCAGTCAATGGCAGCGCCCACAGTGACCGTGTTGACGATGCAGTGTATCAGAGTGATGACGAACAATATGGTTGCTTTGGTGAAGTGCGACAGTTGAGTCAACATGGACGTGGCTATCAATGCCAGAACCATGAAGTACGTGAAGTACGACGGGTACATGCAGTAAATCGAAGGATCGCTTTGGCCGTGTGTGCAGTTCGTTAGTATTTGACTGTCGGACCAGCACGATACCTGTATTGGAAATGGAAAATCGATAAAAAATAATTAAACAATAAAATGAGTGCGATTATATTGATGTTCAAATGACTGTATGGTTTTTATCGAATACATCATAACCTTTTCAATAATAAATTATGCACAATAACCCTTTATGTGTGTACTGAAATCGATTTTTAATTGGCACACTAAAAAATGTGCAAACATTACGGACTGTACCTATGCTATAGGTAATTATGATATACACTTAGAGAATTTTGTTGTACAAACAAAATATGTGTAATATGTTATTAAATGATTACCTGACGAAGCGTATTAATGCGTCTTGACGAACGACCTATTAGCGCTATAGTAGTTACGGGGTAGCTAATGTTTTATATTATTAACGTGATGTGAATCGAAGAGCACGTATTCCAAAAATACGTATTCCACGTATTTTTTTTAAAGTTAAAATATTTCCGAGATCTAATTTTTTTTTTTTTTTTTTTGAAATTGATTGACAACAAGGTAATCGAAAGCTTTCAACTAATGTCGTAAAAAATGCCCTAAATACTTGAGAAAATGTTAAAATATACACTACAAATTGTCACCCTGTGGCATAATAAAAAGAAAACATTAAAATTGGGTCATGTTCATTATAAATTATAGAGCTCCATCATTACCATTAAGTAATAGTTGCGCAATCAACCAGAAAAACAGCGGATTTAAATTTTAAAGTAAATTAATTTGTTATTTATTTTCTTAGTTTTAATCGAAAAGAAATTTGACCGTTTTATAATTGTTGATCAGTTAAAATTTTCAATGTATAAAAAGTTGACATATTTATAACTTTGTTATTTCAGTGTTTGTTTTGTTATTGCAATGAAAAAGCCATTAGAACCAAGTGATCCTTTCCGTAGTCGTTACTATTTTTGCTATTACGAACCGTGACCTTATAAAACGTACAAAATGTTTACTTCGCGTGACCCATTGTATTTAAGTCCACCACAGTTCAGCTGTGCAAACGAACGCGTGCCCGGGCTCTGAAATAACGAGTAGGTTTTTGTTTAACTTACCAGTCCTACGAGATTAGTTGACGCTAGTAATAACGCGGCAGTGATACCGAGTATACGGCGTATCCACAAAGAATCGTTGATGGTCTCGCTGAACCATACAACTTTCGACGGCAGAATCTAAGAACAAATAATTCATACGGGTAAATGTTTATCGTAGCGTAGGCCACTATTTATTTCTCTCTAAATATATATACGTATACGAGTAGGTATATCTACTGTGATGCACAACAATTACAAACTTTATGTACTTTTCTCATTTAGAACGCATTAAAAGTGAAAAAGTATACATTCGTATCAATTAACGACGTCGTCCAAGCTACGAATAAAATATTAGATTTATATATATTTATAAAATAAAACGACTTAATTGCATAATGCCGCAATACCCACACACACGCACACACACACACACACACATACACGCTCAGATATATAAATATATAATTTTAAGTCGTAGTTCAGAGAACGCGCCGAATGTTTTAAACAGAAAATATGTATAGTTTAATTTTTCAGACACATGAAACGATGCGTACAACCAGTGGCCCCCCAGGTTCCGATTTTAGGCTGTGATATATTATTCGCTTGGGACGTTTGGGTTTAAAATGTTATGTTGCGTTTTTTATTTCATTTATAAGAATTAAATCTAAGGATGTAAAAATTAAATTTTAAGTAATAAATTATTGATGGGTTAAACTTGTTTGTTTGTGGTATATTATAAAATAATACCAAAGGATCCCTATCGGAAAAAATTATAAAAACCACCCCCACGTACAACTATACAAGTTCTGAAGAATTTTCATACATAATGTTATATATACATGTAACGCATAGAAATATCACCAGTTACTTACTCTTGGGAAAATGTCGGCGACTGATACTATTACGATAATCAATAGTAATACTAATGCAAAACAACTGGACATGTAGCTTAATATGTCTCTAAAAAGTAATACATAATTATGAGACGTTAGAAAGTAACGATTTTTATGATCAAATTTATTTAACGGTGTAACGCGAACCTGGGTAACATGATGATTTGTGCGGAAGACGTCAAAAAGAGAACTAAAGGACAGCCTATTAGAGACACGCCGGACGCCGCTTCTTTGTGGTATTTGTATTCGCGTTCTTTTGCTTCGTCGTTGAATGACAAAGTGAAAAACTTTGTGTGTTTGTTCAGATCTCTTAAACAATTCAAATATAACACAACATTTAATACTGGAATTTGAATTGCATTGAAACAATGGATGAGTACCATATTGATAACTGTATTGTCTTTCTTAGTACACAGTTAAATAGTAAATATTTAATTGCGGTTATGATTATATCATTATTAATATCCCTCGAATTTTTCAGACATATTATACGAGTGTACTCATATACTATCAGTGACTACCAGCCATTAGGAATAAAAATACTTTTGCCTTTTGGCACTATTTAATCTCAAATTATTTAACGAGCGTTGACTGGTTTATTTCTAGAATGAATTCGTCTTTCAGGAATATAAATGTAAGAAAAAAAAACATATATAAACTTTTGGCCATACATCTTGTTGCATTAAAAATTCTGTAAATGAAAATATTTATTATTATTCAAAAGTATGAGTTAATCCGTTTCGTGCACTGTAGCTGTAATACGGAATTCATATTTGGATTCTATGAAATTTCTATGTAACGGGATATTGAGTTACGCCAATTTTCGGTACCGCATAATAGAACAAACGGTATAAAACGAGAAGTAAAATTTAATTAATCGATAGGTTGGAATATTCCGGAACACAATGTTGTGTACTCCGAAACAAAATACAACAATCAATTTGCGGGATATTCGTCTACATAATAATGGAATAACGGTTAATTGTTCCAGACCTTTGGGAAAAACGTATCGGCGTAAATGCGACTACACCATAATTTATTTAATTATAAAAGAATATTTTCAGTATCCATTACGCAGGCACAATAAACGTGATCGTTATATTTACCTGTGACCGTCTCTATTCATCAAATCTTTTCTCAGTCGTTTCTTGAAGTTCTCGGAATCCTCCTTGGCCTGAGCAATTAAGTCGGCTTCATCAATCGGTGTTGCACACTATTTTTACACGCACAATTAATCGTTAAGAATTTATATATATATATATATATATATATAAATCGATACGATATATTATCAATTATTTTTATTAAATTATAATTTGTTGAACAACGAATCATCTCATATTGAAACCTAACGCACAAATACAGCGGATGAACACGAACAAAGTTCATATAATCGCAACTAGAAATATACTTGAGGATGGGCTAAATTTTTTTGTGATTACAGTGACTTGTGGGAAATTCAAGATACAAAAAATCCTAAACAGCTAAATACCAATTCAATACAAAGCATAAATATGTTAGTAATGAGCTCTTAAATGTTTAATAATACCTCTCAACTGTACATGTGTATTACAAATTATTTAAGAAACATAATTCACATATTATTTTGTTTCAAAATATTTATCTACTATAATTTAAATTAATCAAGGAGTTTGTTATGACTCTCTCTATACTTAAAAGATATTAGCATCCAAACGTATTTGTCTCATGGTTGACCTCAGCAAGTTTTTAATGCACCTCGTGGTATAATAAACATTAACAAGTTGTTAAGCTAATAGGAATATTGATACAGCCATTAGCTAGCAATAGTTAGTACAGAATAAGATATTGTATATTTTTCGAAACGGCTAATTTTAAATAATATTTACGGAAATATTTGTTAAAACTTTATTTTATACGGTATTCGAGAAATACAAAATTATAAAGCACAATTTTGTATAAAAATAATTTTGCCTTTAATAGTTTATAATAACTGGGTGGAAAATTCCCCCTGGTTGTTTTTTCGACGAAATTATACTTAACTTGAGTGATCGAAGTAGAAATGAATAATGTTTATTGCATGACAACACAAATAATATAATACAAATATTTTAATGCATTTCAATTAATGGTAATGAAATTGTCCGATTATAGATTTTCAAACATATTGTTGTAGTGACATTATCAAAAATTGAGATTATGATATCACGCTAGTGGAGTCTACGCCTATGGTAATACGATATCGGAAAACTGAGTACTCACCACTGATTCTTTGCTGGTACTAATCTGATCGTTTAAAGATCCGTTTTGTACTTCCATTTTGAACTGTTGTTTTTATAAAAATTTACAAATAATAAAAAATTCAATAAGAAGACAGTGAAAATCAATAACAATATGAATTACCGGTTTGATGGTTTTGATGATGAAAAATGTTTTTATACTGGCCATCTTGAGCGCTTCTTCACGCCGTTCTCCATAACCGGGCTCCACTTCAAATTCTCCATTCAAGAAACTCAACGTTTTTTCGGATATATGTACTCGTCTGAAAGTACGAATCGAATAAATCACTCGGTTTCTACCGCTCGTACTAACACACACACACACACACACATATATATATATATATATATATATATATAAATTTTATACCCTGGCATTCCGCTGCTTTCCATTTTGTTAGCCAACTCTACGTCCTTGGAGTAAACGTCGAATTGCCATTGTCTCTGACCCAAAACACCGGCCAAAACGGCTCCCGTGTGTATGCCCACCCGCATGTCCACTGGAGAGTTCGTGGTCTGCTGTACGTATCTTAGAGGAAAATTCAAAATACGTTAATAATATCAGTTAAACGATTAAACGAACGGGTTAACGTCTCTGAGTTCGATTAAAAACAACAGCCGTTCTTACTTGATGGCTTTGACCATGGACAGTCCCATGTGTACGCTTAGCACAGCATGATCAGGTCGTTCCTTAGGAGCACCGCTTATGCAATAGTAACAATCACCTAAAATCTTGATTCTGAGCTGCTGGTATTTCTGTGAACAGATGATGGTTAAAAACACGTCATCCTCGTTAACGTATGCTCTCCATAACAATAACGGTTTTTCTTACTTCGGATAGTCTGTCAAATCTGGCGAACAACTCGTTAAGGATTTTCACCAGATCCGAGGCAGAGTACGTTGACGATATGGCTGTGAATCCAACGATGTCGGCGTACAAAATGCTGAAATACAATACGCATCGAAATTATTACCGCAGACTTATAAATATTGTATATGTTATAATATATCGAATGAATAATAAAAATACCTTTTACGAAATAGAAAAACAACTTCCATAAAATAAATAAAGAGCGAAAGAAAACTCAATTTAAACACAACGCTCGTTGCATTATTATTTTTTTTTTTTTTACAAACTGTGCTCGCTTAGGAGAAAGTGTACAATGAATATATTAAGAGCATGAGATCTATTGAATACATATACACAGATAATTTAGAAGTAAAGTTAGAGAATACTCAAAAGTTATATTTCCAAGTTAGTTTATTTACTTAGAACGAATGCTACTCGGCCAACTTTTAGAATACATTTAAAAAGAGGGTTACAGCGTATGGTTCAGTTGGATTGGATTATGACTCTAAAATAGAAAGAACGACAATAAGAAAAATTACACTGCCTCCAACGTTTCTCTTTAAAATAAAGCTTGTTTGCATTTCACTATATTACATTAAGTCCAATGTAAACTTAATTAATAATCGAATTATAACTCAATTATACTATTATAAGTACTTTTACATCTCGTTTTCTTGACACTTGTTATTTTATTATGTAATGGTTGTAATAAATTAATATTCCGTTGTTTGAATTTTAATATTTCTTTTGACATCTTTAGAAACATTTCATAACTCGCACGATTAAAATCATTCCACCAGAGTTAGGCAAACAGTATCCAAATGGTTATAAATAAAAACACATCGTAGCTATTAGGAGCAATATTCAAATATGTTTTACCTTAATCACATCGAAATTAGGTATCAATTTGTAGAAATCGTCATGAATAATTTAAAAATCAAAACTCAAATCTGATATATTATGGAGTTTCGACTGCGAAATTATTAACGAAAATCTATGTAATCACAACATTTTTACTGTATTGTAGATTCCCGTGTCAAAGAGTTAATTAAAAATCAACAGTTATATAAATGGTTTGCCGTAATATTTTTATGAATAATTATGTCTGAATTCTTTAATGATATAAGGCGACTTATTTACATTGGTTATTGTCAGGGCTCGTAAGTTCATGCATTTGCATATCAATCTTGCAAATTTGTATTTAATGCTAGATGACATAGATATCTATTTCGAGGTACCATGGTTAAATATGTAAAATCTTATTTTGCATGTTTTTGCATATTTGACATGTTTTTGTATATTTGGCATATTTCTATTTTATCGGATATATTATACATTCTATTAGAATCTATCAAAAATCTAAATGGAAAATATATATAAAATTAAAAATAGAAATTGTATTATCTTTTCTTTTTTTTATCTTCTTGTTATTCGTACATTTAATGAATAAATTTGTTTCAAAAGTTTCAGATTAAAAATGAATTACTGACAAAGACGTACATTATACGTAGTTCATGAAGGCTCAAGATTAGTTTTATATAGTATTTAAAATCTAATAATTTTTTTTTAATTATGACATAAAAAAATAAAATATAGCTATAAAAAAATGAATAGATAAATCATGTTATTTAAAAAATGATTTTTTTAAGTAAGCATTTTTTTAAATGCATAGTTTTAGATATTTAGTGCATATAAATGCATATTTTGCCAATTTTAAGTGCATAAATGCATGCTTATTTAGGCACTTTTTAGGGCATCAACTTACGAACCTTGTTTATTACTATAGTAATAAACCCCTATAGGGCTTGAAAGTTAATGAATTTTGTTTTTTTTTTGGAACTTTTTAGACGATGCTCTCCTGACCACAAATGGGTTTTATTAACACGTGAATCCGAATAACTAATTTTTATTTTGCATTTTTTAGTGTTTCTTACTTTTTAAGTAATTTTTTTGACATTTTTATGTCATTTTTACTGATTTCACACTAGTTCACTTCTTATTATTGATCATTATGCCGATAACTTAAAACTTGTCCGATTTTATCTTGCTGATTACATTCATCGCTGTATTGAATATTATTATACCTAAATTTTATTATATTTTTCTAATATTCAATTATTATTCGATTTTATCTCGTCGATTACAGTCGTCGCTTCGTTTTCGTGTTTTAGTGAATAATATCTATTATATCTAAATTTTATTATTTTTTCGTAATATTTTTGAAATGGCAAACATTAAAACGTCGGTTAGTGCTCATCTGCGTCTCCGAATCACTTCGGTGAACGTGGAGAAAAGTTTTTCCAATTATAGATATTTATAAACAGATAATCGTCGTTCATTTACTTTTGCTAACATCAAATACGCTCTAATTGGACAATGCAATGATTTTGATTTTTGAGTAATTTGAAAGCTTTGATAAATTTATAAAACAAATATTTGTAATTTTTTATGTCATTTTTTGTCATTTTTATGTTATATTTGCACATTTTTTTAGGTCAATTTTTAATATTTTTAAGATCATCAACTTCCGAGCTCTAATTATTACAATAATAAATATGTATTGTATTTTTTTTCTTAAAAAACTAATAAATAAAATATTAATATTATTTTATTATAAGACAATGTGTTGTAATCATTTTTTATGGGTTTAAAAAAATAAAATACAGGAGTGTAAATTTTTAGATTTTAAACATTCTACTAAATATTATATTTACCTTTAATACCGTCAATTTTATAACAGTATTCCAAAGACATAAATATTAGTATACAATAACACAAAGGTTCCACGTGTGGTTAAAAAAAATTAATTTATACTGGGGAAAAAAAATGCCCAATAAAATCCTTGGTAGTGTTTGTTGCATATTCGTACCAACTATATTCTGTCATACATATTTTATAATCTATTAGAAATTAAAATTAAAAACTACTTAGTTCCAAGGAAGTAAAAATTAATTTTTAATTTAGAATGATATTTCCAATTTAATTTCAGCGTTTTTATTCTAGTAAAATATTTAAATGATATAAAAAAAAATAAAAATATAAAATTTTATTGTTTAAAATATTTAAACAATTTATTTTTATATATAATATAATTTACTTACTATTTTATTAAACTTTTCCTGGTTATTTTCTGATTATACTAAATTAAATACGTTTTTATAATAAATGTTTAATGGTAATTTAACTACGTGTTATCTGTATAATATTTTCAAAACTCATAATGAATTACATTTTGTATATTATACTGTTAGAAAAGAGCACTTTTTGTTTTTTATTAAAAATATGATAGTAAAATAAATTATTATACAACACTTCTTTCATAGTTTTTATTAAAATTATATTAAGATTATAATTAAATTTTTTTAAGTGATTCTTTGATTTTATTTTAAACTCTAATGATTAATATTTTTGATGATATATATTTTTTTTATCGTTAATTTTACATTTATCAGTTAATTATTTTTACTTTTTATGTATGTATAAGTTCGTTAATTTTTCCTAAATCAAAAACTTAGAAATTAGAGTGTCTAAAAGATAGTAACTCTATAAGTTCTGATCTTTAACAAACATACCAACCACAGAATATGTAATTTGGGATAACGTAAAATAATAATTAATTTGAAGTTTTTAGACTTCCAAGACTTTTAGACTTTTAGACTAGTACGCACTTAATCCAAATTCAAAAACCATATTAGTTTTCACAATTTATTTGTTTGAACTTACTTTGTCAGATAGAATATTATATAGAGCATATGTATGAACTTTTCCATTTTTTTTTTCAAACTGAAAAATTCATTGAACGCTAAAGTGTATGAAGTGATAAAACGTTCAGAAGAAGCTAAAACGCCAAATGTTGCAACAGCTATTTGCTGTTACTAGTGTTCACGACTTTATGTTCTACACCCATCCACTCAACAAGTAATAAATGTATTGTTAGAAACGTTGTCAATAAAACTATGTGTTTTAGAAAAACATGTTTTAAAGTAACATAAGAAATGAAAAGAAAACGAATAAAATTTTTATGTTTACAATGAGCACACGGAAAAAGTAAATTACGAAAAATAAAATAAAATTAAAAAAAACCACCACCAAATGAATTCATTTGATTAGTATTGAAACGTTTTTCTTATTTTTTTTTTTTTTTTTTGTTAAAACGTTGTAATTTATTTATTCTGTGAATATACGTGAATATATTATTGTATTAACATTATTTGTCGACTACGTGAATGACTTGCAAATTAAAATTTAGTAACAATTGTATTGTTCCCTGGTGAAATGTCAACACGAAAAATATTACCATATGTTTAACACGCTTAATCGAATCGAAACACATTTTTTTATATTGTTTTACTAATTAACTCAGCGGTGGGCAGTTTTACTATTTTTAAACTCTAATACTGGTCATTGTAGATGAGACAAATTGCGGGAGATTGTGTACAACATTTTGTGTGGGTACGTGGTACGCATATACTTGTGTATTTTACATGCGAACGATATATCCAAAAAATATAATATTATCAATGTAAATATATCGGTTCGAACCAATAACGAATAAAATTGTGTACGACCTCCGTAGGGAATTTCGAAAATGTCCAATTTTACCCTTACATTATTATTATTAAATGGAAACCCATTTGATACAATACACATAAATAAAACGTTGATATGAATTTGATATTGATATCTTATATGTAAGTAATATACAGTTTACTTAATAAAATTTATAATTTAAATAATTTTAACGAGCAATAAATTTAGTTAATGTGACTTGATCTACATAAATGAGGGATTTCAAAAATAATGTTTTACAACTGTAAAGTATGTAATTAACTACGTATAACGAACAGTATTTCAGTTCATTTCAGAATTATAATGTATAGATACGCTATACAAATTCTTAAAATTGGTAGAGCCTACGTGGAAATTATATATATATATATATATATATATATATATATATATATATATATATAATCGTTTGCATTTAAAAAATTGATGAAAAGAGATTTTCAATTGAATGCAAACGATTACATTCTGGTTTCCGCGGCCACGAATAACTCTAATATTAGTGAATAATTGATTGCAATAAACAGTACTTTTGTTTTGTTTATTGTTACCTGTATATTATTTATAAGTTATGTAATAGCCGATACATATAACTAAACAAAATGTATAATTGTTTTATTTTCACCATAAAAAAAAAAAAAAAAACATTTTGGTAATCGTATCTTTGTCGTTATCTTTAACTATAGAGCATGAATACGTGGTTTTGTTAATACGCAACCGTATTTTCCGGTGTTCGAGCAGTTGTAAGTCGAGTGCCACATTTGCGCATTATTAATACGATGTTACACTTTGCGATACCCTCCTAAACTACGCCCCGGTACGTATTGATTACGGTAAATATACATTAGAAGCTTTGTCAACTGTGTACACTGGACATGTTGGAATTCATATTACTAGCTCGGGCGGTAAACGCACGTAATCGTTAACTACCCCGACGGACCACTGTAGCGCGTACCTACATTTAGGGTCTGTTTCGGTGCGGTACAAGTTGGTTGTAAAGATGTTAAACCTTGAAAAATGCGTAGGTAGACATTATAAATCTGTCAAAGTTTTACGAGAGTTCGATCGACGGAAAAAACTATAATCAACGGAACACTTTTTTAATACGTGAATCTTTGCGTTGGGCACTGAGTCGTTTGGACCCGTATTGTCACCGCCCCATGATTACGCGCGTGCCATGCCGAGTGGATAATGATTTCGGATTTTTCAACCGTTAACCGTTCCGAGGTGAGAATTCTTAAATGCGACCGTGATTTAACTTGCCGTACACCATTTACCGTCGCCCGGGCTAAAACGGAATCTTCACGATTCGCGAACGCGCGTACACAAATATTTCCGACCTTGTTGATCGCTGCGTGCTCGTGGGTTAGGTACATTTCGATAATTGAACATTTCCCGATAAAAGTAAGTCATCGCGTGGCCAATACTCGTATTTTATTTTTTTACCACGTCGCGTTTCTGTGGTTTTCTCGAAATCCGTATTCCGTTCGACCACAATCGTAAAATTTATATCCATACTATTTTTAATACAGTCAGTGGCGCGTAACTTCAAAATTTGGATTTGAATTTTCAGCGGGCCCCTCTCATCCATGTATATATTAAAAGGATCTGAGGGGGTATATTCACCATACTAAAATTATTTTAAACATTTTTTGTTTTTTTAATATAATTTTACATTCTATTTAATACGCATTTTATCATTTATAATAATTTAATTAACATTAAATATTTATTATTAATTTAATTATTCAAATGGAAAAGGAATTACTGAGGACTATAGATACACGGAAATATAAATACTTGGGTCACATAACCAAATAACCAAAGTTATGGATTAGTGGAACTTATATATCAGGAAAAAATAGAAGGCAAGATAAGTGTTGGTGGACGAGGATATCTTGGTCGAAAAATCTCCGCAACTGTTTTAATGAAACAACGAATGAATTATTTTGTTCGTTGTTAGAAAGAGAAACAATATTCGGTATGATTTCTAACATCCGAAACGGATAGAAACTTCAAGAAGAGGAAGAAGAATAATGAATAGAAAAAAAAATGTATTTCTTCGGGCTCATACGGTTTTATACGAACGAGCCCGGGTGCGACCGCACCTTCTGATTTTTCTTGGTTACGCCTTTGAACATAGTATATTATTTCACACGCGTATATAATAATATTATACATAATATTGTTATCAGTGGCGTATCCAAAATTTTTTTTTGGGAGGGGTTATAAAAAATGTAACATTCAATTTTTTTTTGAATTTTGTGTGTTTTTATTATAATCAATAGACAATATACATACATTAAACATTTTCGAGGGGAGTTATAACCCCCTAACCCCACCCCTGGATACGCCACTGATTATTATGATATCGTGTATTGCCGCAAGAATGCGGACGAGACTTATAGCCGACAGCTGTTGACTGGAGTTAGGTACATACCTGACGTTTTCGTGTCGACTCATGTATATCTTTTTGAATTGACTGTCCAGTGCCTCGCCCAAGTCCTGACGCATTTTCACGGCTACGTGTTCCGGTAACACGGATAACAACAGTCGTTCCTGAAAAAAAAAAAATTAATAAAAAATTGACTTTAAAGTAAAAAAAAAGTAAAAAAAAAAAACAAACGTAAAAGAAGCCTCCTATATAAGCCACTAGGAGACACACCACACAGCTTGATTAATGGTGTTTTGTTATCCTTATAACATTTACTCGGTCAATTTTTACCGCGTTTGTGTTATTTTTGCTCACGGTCTCGGACACGAGACATTTTGTACGTTCTGCGGGATAATAACCGAGATATTTAATAACATATTTTCCTCGCACTGCCACGGGGTGATTATCGTAGTAATGCGATTTCGAGAACTTTTATTACAATTCCATCACATTTCGCGTAGTATCCGGTACTTGCAACGCATTATACGTATATTGTGACGAATGCCACTTATGATCTTAAAACGTTCAGAAATAAACACACCTGCAGTTATATATATAGGCATACACACATATTTGTTTAGCATACGAATACGCGGAACACAAGTTCAACATTGAATATTATAGTGCGCACTTTATGACCTATATAAAAAAAAATTGAATACGAAGAGTATTCAACTGACTGTTGAATATTAGATGCAATTACATTTTGTTAGGTTTCCAGAACTAGGCAAGTAATTCAATACTTATCATCGTGAATATTTGATTGATTTTAATTAAAAAACTTTAAATCGAAAATTAATCAATTCCTGTAGGTTACGGGTCATTTTTTTTACGTCCGATTTTCGATGCAGGTCGATAATATAACGTTTTCATGCTGATTTTAAGAATGTTTCAAGTTTTTTATTATTTATGTTTATCAGAACACAAATATAAATAACGATTAACGCGGTTAAGTTTAAAATTTCGTAGTCTTCCTGAATGCTGTTTAGTGGAAAAGAGACTTGGGATTAAAAATTTATAAAACTTTGTAACACTGTTACATCCCGTGACCATTTTTAGTTTTTGATAAATTTAATACATGCATGTATATATACCTAATATATAAAACAGTCACGTACAGACTCGTTCAATATAATCTAAGACTGTATAATATTTCTTTCTTAATCTATTTAAATAGGAATTTAAAACTTAATAATAAGTGTTATATTTATTAAATCCAGGCCAAGTTCAGAATTGAAATTCGTTAACCACGTCAACGGAATCAAAAATATAACAGAGCTCATACATCGCCTTATGAATGAAAAATGATTTAATCTGCACAGATGAATAGTAAACGTTTTTTAACCTTAAAACCGGAATATGTTAATAGCGATAAACAATTTTAAATCCGGACTCATGGCCCACGAGGTGGACAAGCTTAACGAGTCATGTTATTCAATAGCCTAAATCATTTTTTTATACTCATCAGTTAATTTTTTCTTGTGTAAATGGAATAACTTTTTTTTTTTTTAGAAATGAAAAAAAGGATTATTCGACCGTAGTATTAAATATGCATATATATATATACACACGTATACCATTATATATTTCAATCATGTTTTCGGTCCAATGAAATGACGTTTACAGAAGACGAGGAGGCGTATAACGACCGCCGGTGAGAACGAATATAATATACGTCGTATACACTGAACCTAATGCCAGTATTATTATTTTCCGATGCGAATCTAAAATAATCAATAACGTATTTAACGAATATCACACGCGCAGCAATTCCGTGGAGTGTGCAAGACGAACGACAACGAGTGCTTTTGAGAATATAATACGTATATATTTATATATACTGTTGAAGCGGCCGTCACTGTGTCTACCACGTCTACCGTATACATAAATATATGTGAATATATATATATATATATGTATGTATTACAGCTTTGACCGACGTATTATTGAAACGAAAAACGCGATAATAGTACTTCGGGAACGCGCGTAGGTCTTCTACACAACTAATCGAGAAGAAAATAACACGTTTCGGAAGGCTTACGCGCCCCACGCTGCTCGATGTGTACGGCAATACAGTAATATGTGTCTTGCAATACAAATAAGTTTGGTTCGTGAACTGTGAAAATAATGACTAGAGAGAAACGAATGCGCAGTGTTTCGGGTACGAGGCACACTCTCCAAACGGAGCACGAGAGAGCAGGCAACATCTATACTCGTCTGTATAACATGTGATTTTCTTTTTCAGCAATACTCATCCGAGGGTGGCGATAGCGTTCATATTATATTATAAAGTTTCGTAAAGCGCGAAATCGGACACAGTAGGTGTTTTCAACAGGTCATTTTTAGAATTTCTCATCGATTTCTCTCAGAAATTCCGCAGTAAAAATCGAAAAACTTTATTGCGAAATTCTAGGAATACATTTTTTTTTTTTTTTTTTTAATTGTATTATCTAAAATGAAAATTTTATAATGATATAACTAAATAATACTATCCTTCGAAAAAATATTGTTTACGTTGTTTGGTTCAAAGTATATGTTTCTAAATAAAAATACTATCGTCGTCGGAAAAAATATTTAAATTAAAAACAAAATTAAATCCCCAAAAGTTAATGAGTACAAAACAAAAAGATGTATAGTTATTAAATTTTCTTTTCTTTTATTAGAAATAACTTACGGTGTAAAAAATAAATAACTAAACTATGCTATCTCGTCTATTATAAATATGTAGATTTTCATAAAAATAATAAATATACGAAAATATTTGCAAATATAACCAACTTGGTAAAAAATCTCCAATACTCAGGTTTATGTTTTGGTCTATTTTTGTTGTCAACTCCTTTCTGGTGGATTACAAAAATAAACAGAAAAGATTAGCTCAAACCATGTTTATCCGGTGTCGGAACGATAGTGGATTTTCTATTACTACAAACAGTAAACCCTTAAGTTTAAAATGATTTTATTTTAATATTTTTTATGTAAATAAAGTATTTATTTTCCAATATATAAAAAGCTTGGAAATTAATTTTACTATGCGTTCAAAAACTAGAGATTTCATTGTACGTTAAAATAAATAATAAAACATGGTTTTAATATCGTATTACAATGTACAAAAAATAAAAAATGTTATACCTTTTTTAGATTTTGAGCCCAGCGAGGAATGTATTTTTAATATTAAATCGAATTCAAATCAGCTTTATAAATACATTGTATTAAGTATAAAATATATTTAACAATTGTAGTAAAATTAAAAATGGTTTTTTGTTTTCAATATTATATTATAATTCGTAACAAATGAATGGTAATTTGTAAAAGTACTTTCGCATAAAATATCAAAAGTTTAAAATATTTTTTATTTATTCCACGTAATATTCATTCAAGTGAACTTAGGGAAAGAATATTTAAAAAATAAAACTTTGGAAAGAAAAGCAGTACTAAGGTAAAAAAAAAAAAAAATATATATATATATAAATTGTTTTCTTGTAGTTAAATGAGCTATATCAATATCCTTACAGTATTAATATTATTTATTAAATAATGAAGGTAGTACTACGGTCTACGGTATTCAATAATTATTATTATTATTTCCTCCAGCTCTACGCTCATTATCATAAAACCATTAAAACTAAATTTTAATTTCTTTATAAAACTCTAATTTTAAACATGCTGAAATTTAAAATATTTAATTATTTGAATTTGATTACCTGTATATTATTTTATAATGAGTTAGAGTTACTATACTTAATTGTATACAATTTAGAAAAATTCATGTTTAATTTTAATTTCATTGTAAAATAATATAAAAACAAATAAGTAAAAGAAAATAAATCGTATCTCGAGTAAAAAAGAGGTCGAGCTAAGTACGAATAAAATAGATGTAAAATAAATAAAAATACGTCTTCAGTATTATAATAAATAGTTATTACTAAATAAAGTTGATAAACTTATGGAATTTTATCTATCTAAATATGAAAAAAAACATGATCATGTATATCTATTCAAGTATATTTTTTCTAAATTTAATTTAAATATGTATACCAATTTTTAAATATATTTTAATTAATATATATATATATATATATATATATATATATATAATCTCAAACGTTTTAACCGTGACACTTAAATATACTTGATGTGGCTATTAAATAACGATACTTTTGAACTAGCAATAAGGTACGTGCAGATAAAATAATAGTGTTAGTACTCGTATATTTATTATCTATGATGTTGCATCAAAAAATACGAGTTTTAATTCAAAATTTCTAGTCAAACTCGGAAAATCTGTAACGGAAAGTGTACGATTGTTGTTCAATGAGTATTATCGTTATAGTTTAGTTATGATATTATGGTAACCGGTAACCGTTTCTTTAAGGATATTTCAAAAACTATAATAACCTTAAATCGTTTAAAAGCCGATGATAAGGTTTTTTGGTAATCAGTTACCGTTTAAAACCGGTTTTTAAAAATCATATTTTTCAATTTTTTAATCATATTTTTAAAACAGTTTATTTAGGCGATTCATGGATTCATAATATAACTTTTATTACTTATTACAAAATCAAAAACATAATATGCTTTAATTTGGTCGATTTCATTCAATTTCAATATTTATTTTTTCAAACTGCTTTAAAGTTGAAAACATATTATGATCAAGATAATGATAATCAAAAAAATATTATAATGTATAGTTTAAAGAAAAATATAGTTATACCTACATATATATATATATATATGATATTCACAACAGATAAGCAATACTCGATGGCCATTAATTGGGGAAAAATATTTAAAATTGGCTGAAAAACTAAATTCAACTATAATTGTATACCTAATGTAAACATGACATAATTCAAGTATTAATACCACGAATAAATTATTAATTATTTTGGTCGGGAATAGATTTTGATTATAAAACCGGGATTGAAAATACGAGGTAACCGCTTTGATGTTAATATTTAGATATTTACCTTGGTACCGATAACCAATAACCGATTCCAGCATTCCAAAACTAAAAGTAGTTATCGGTTTTCGGTTTTCAAATTTACGGTTTTTTACCGGTTTTCGTTACAAACCGGTTACCGGTTTTAAGCCCTGGTTTAAAGTGAGTAGTTCTAATAAAATTAGTATCTATTCATACATATCACATTATATGCATATATAGTTATAAAAATAATTCTATTTAAACAATATTATGAAATAATTTTCAATATTGAATGCTGAAATAATATTTTCCATTTTATAAATATTAATAAGAAAAAAAAAAAATATTTCCCATAACGTATGTAATGTCGCATTAACAAAATAAAAATAAAAAACAATAGAAAAAATATTTGATTTTCTGTGTAGTAAACACGTAACGGCCAAAGAAAAAATCTGCGATCAAAATATTCCTAACTATATTTATTTTTTTTTGTATGCATAAGCAGACATTTTTTTTTTCATCAATGTCAGGTTTTCACGATTCAAATTGGTATTCAAAATTTGTTGTATGTTATTATGTATACACAACTTGAGTGGATCATCTCGGTAGATTGCCTGTGTTCCTAAAACGTACCATATGAATAACGACAAGCCCTATTGAAATTGATTTATGGTTTCGTAAGCTACCGTAAACTAAAGTTTTTTTACCCTATGTAGGTACAAGGCAAATAACAAAATCGAAATCACTATGGGCTAGAAAACTGAAATACCGACAGCCCGAGGAAATAAACAAACAAAATAAATTTGAAAACTAATAAAAAAAAAAAATAAAAATATTCCGAATTTAATCTGAAATAATGTACCTATCAATCTAGTTTTTGATAAATAAACTGCCGAACGGATTATATATAACGACATAGATTTATAATTTCGAAAGACTAAAAGAAATTCCAATTTGATGGAAAAATAAAGGCGTCGAGTAGGTTTAATACTGCTGTCGTCGTCTCATTCTTGTTGGTATATCTCTACGAAGACGACGGAGTACATAATACGAGGATAGTCAGTCACATTGCTGTATTCATTTTTGTATATGTTCGAATACAATAATCGAAAAACGATTATGACTTTGAGTTTTGAATGGATCTCGTTTTATTGCTCTATCAAATGTTTATATATTTTTATTTGCCTTTTCCTCTATTAATATTAAGAAATTGTAAAAACAAGCAATGCTAGCAATATTTATTACAGATGGTGACCGGAAGGGCATTGCTCCATCAGAAGAAAAAGATATACCCCCCCGCCCTCGAAAAAAATTTGTTTATAGATTAGTTATTTTCTCTTACGGTATACTGCCTATCATATATCTCTCAAAATATTACGATACTATCGGCGTATATTGAAGATTTAAAATAGACATTAAGTGTAAACAAGAATTTTCAAAATATTGAACGTTAATAAAATTAAATTCGATTTGATTGCTACAGTAAGTATTATACGCCTGGAAGGTCATTTTATATAACAGTATTAAATTGTATATTATGTGTTAGGCTAAAATCATAACCTTTTTTGGAGTATCATATTGAGCGCGCTCTGTATAAACTTTCATAATTTACTTCAAAATGTATAACTGATGTAAAGCGATCATCATACTATGAAATAGTAATGTGATACATTTTTACAAGTAAATTTTTTGTATCTATTTATTTTTTTATCGTACTTTAATCCCGTAAAATCGAGACCATCAGAGCGATAGAGATTATATTGAATGCAGCCATTTATATGTATATTACATATTTTTCAATACGTGATGAAAAAAATATATCGGGATGAAAAACAAACGAAATCACAAAATATATACTTTACAACCTGTGAATCACAAGTAATAATATAATAATAGTCAACGGCATTGAAAGGATTTCAATCGTTTTTCTGTGTTTATAATGCCGAAAAATAGTTCAAATTGAATATTTTAATGTAAAATTCAGTTTTTTTTTTAAATATATTCTCGCAAATGTATCTAAATTGCCGATGACTCTCTTAGTTATCTCTTAAGGGTCTAAACTATGTAATACTATTTTATGATTAAGGTTAAATGACTAACTTTATACTTTGTTACATTTATTCAGTAAAAGAAAAAAATTATTAATAAGTATATATAATAATTGCTTAGGTCACCTTTTTAATTCGAATAAAAGAATTTTTCATTATAATGAATAGAATTCTTGATTTTAATTTATTCTCGTGAATATTGTTAATGTTCAAAATTTTCCCATAAATAATAAATACAACAGAGCTTTGAAGTTTTTACGATGGAAATTTGAAAGAAGTTGCATAACCAAAGCTATAAATTTCCATTGATCCAGCTCCTTTTTAGTTACAATATATAACAAATATAATAAAGGCAATGGGTTGGAAGCGCTTACAATTATTTTTTTATCAGCTACTTATGTCTTAACATCATAAAAGATTTATTTAATCAAAGTTAATCATAAAATAATATCACCATAGAAATTTTTTGTATATCATAAATTCATAATATCTTCAATTGTAATTTAAACTTTTTATACTTCGTAAAATTATAAAACTTTAGCAATTTTGTAAATTAGAAGTACATTCCATTTTGCTACCAATTTACTAATAAATAATACTTTATATAACTTTTTAAAACACTTTTTCTTCCTAAATAGTTATATGCTGTATACTTTGATGGACATTTTAACAACTTTATTACAAATCGGACGAGTTTTTCCTTTTATTTAAAATTTGTTTGTTTAATCTTAGAAAACTTTTAAAATTAAAAAATGATCTTTATATTTGATTCAATGCGTATAATTTTAATTTTTTTTTCAGTTCATATGAAATATTCTTAAGATGACTTTATCGTCAAAAAAAAAAAAAAAATATTTCCGTAAGTATATAAATCATAAGATCAAAATGATTAAAACTGCGTGATTAACACTGCGAGCCACTGCGATAGAAAGTTTTATAATAATGATTATTGTTTAATTAAATAATTCGTTGTGAAATTGAACAAATTCATTTTTTTGTAAAATACAATGTTACATATAAATTACTTGTGTTTTGTGTTGTGTTATTATGTCGTATAATAATGCAGAGTGGATATTTGATAAATAAAATCCAATAGTTAAAATATTTTTCGAATATAATATATATAACATTATACTATAATGTTTGGTATTTCAGATTCCAAACAAGGTAAAGAAAGTTTTTATTTTCTAAGTTATATTCTTATAGTTTAGTTTATGATTACGTTTTTTTGTAGAAAAAATTATCTGAACTCTTACAACAATGAAATTTAGTGTTTCTAAGTACTTTGACAAAGGATGTTTTTTATTAAATATTTTACTTGCAATTCTAATGATATTTAAAATCCTTCACATACATAACTGTTTGACAGTTTGACGCAGTACTGTAATCGAAAACTATACTCGGAAACGTTTCATAATGCGATGGTTTATTATTAAGTTTTAGTTTAGTGACATGGAACCGATGTGAGAACGAAGTGTCACAAATGCCGGCATAACACCTAACGCTGGCTGCATCTGGTCCAGTTTTTACATTTTTATTTAATTTTGGCCAACATGAATGAGCGCACTATTTTAAGTTTAAATACGTTAACATTAAAACAAGTTAATAATAGAGTGAGTGGGTAGTATAAATTATCCAAACATTTCCAAGTTTTTTTAGATAAATAATATTAAACAATTAATTTTTTTATTTTATCATTCGAATTGCGAAAATTTATAATTATGTATTTTTAAACTTAATTATGTTTTCATCTCATTAATACGATGTACCTCGTTCGTTGAACAAGACTTTGTAAGTGTAAATAATCACGAACAGCGAGCGAACATAAGTCAAATAAAAATCGCATTTTAAAGTTACCTTCGGAAGCGCGATTTCCCGTATCGTATAAAACAAAACTAGTAAGTGTCAAATTAAATTTCCATCGTAGCGTTGTATACTCGTATTATGTGTAAGTAATGGTTACGTTTTACGAATTAATAACCGTACATCATTAGAATCGCTATTGTTATTATTCACGAAAGAAGGCTTAAACATTTCGTACACGGGTGAAAACGCACGGTTTGCGTATGCAACGAAGTCTAGCGCAAGTATACCTACACAGATAATATGTTTTATCGATGAAAAAATTGTTTTCGGAAAATTGTCAAACGGCCGTCGTCCGTCGAATGAATGTTATTCAATATCTCAAACGTGATGAACGTTATGCGTTTGGAACTACTATAGGTGTGCAATAGGTGGTACATAAAAGGTATACACGTAAAAAATGTAAAAGTAGTACCGTATAATGGTTTACGACGAAATAAAATGCGTATTGTTGTAATGAATTTAATATACCGTTTATGAGAACACAAGATATTATGTTGACAATAACTCGGGGACGGAAAAAGTTTATACGTATATATGCGTAGGTATATGTAATACGAGCAAACGTAGTTTTACCTGTTCGGTCGATTGTTCTTCTATAACCATTTTCATTTCGAGACATTGTCGTGTTTCCAGAAATGCGGTTCGCTGTTGCTTGTCTGCTAGGAAATAAGACAAAAGTCCCAAACAATTTGACGCCAACAGGAGAACGCTGTTCGTGGCCAACTGAAAAAGAGAAAGAGAGAAAAAAATAAATAAAATGTTAAAATACGATACGGCAATTATCGGAATAATAATAATAATAAAAGTGTATATAAATATGTGATATTATACGAAATGAAAATAATCATTGTTGTTATAATATCGTATACGTATAACCCGCGCGTATTTAATACCCGTACGGGTTTTATGGGTCTATTGTGTACAGTATGAAAGTACCCTATCGTTTCTACAGCTTCCCTTGACTGTCACGGGGCGTCGGCCGGTCGCAAAATAATAATGGATAATAACAACACACACGCATACACACACACACACACACACACACACACACACACGCACACACGCACGCACGCACGCACGCACACACGTACGCACATACCAACACAGACTTTTGCAGGCACGCTCACGTGCACATTAGATCGGCACTCGTCATTTCACGGTAGATTACTAGTGAAACAAAACGGGCGCGTATACATATAAGACAATGGGATGCATTGAATTACTCACTCCAATGGGGATTTATGGTTGTCGAGCGCGTGCTTTCATTTTACTTCACAGAAGCCATAAAAATCGTAAATCGATCAACGTCAATCGACGACGTATGCACGTACACAAAAAGAGTTTAAAAAACAGTTCTATGTAAGTTATATGTACAGTACTGCACGATATTTTTAATAAGCACGTATTGCTTTGGTGTTCCGTCCCTTTTATTCTTATATAATTTTTGATGAACGCTGTTCGATTTTCGGTTTCAACGAATTCGTATTATCCATCCGGTTAGGCAGTGCCATATCAAGGCATGGTCCATGCATAGGACGGAACTCCGGAATTTGAAGGGCCTCAAATTCATAGACATTAATTTACCTGTGTTCAGTGGCGTAGTCAAGGGGAGTTAACAGGTTATAAACACCCCCCCTCCCCCGAAATGTCTCTTTTATTTTGTAAAATATACAATAATACATATGTATAATTTTATGTCATTATTTAACAATTTTAACGGTTTCAATAAACTAAATAATAACACATTTTATATTTTAACATATATTATTAAAAATTAAAAATTTGGTATGTAGTAAAGAATTTTAAATTTTAACTCCCTCCCCCCTAAATATCTTTTGGGCTATTCTATTCAAACCAAAATTTACAAAATATCATATTTTATATTTTTTTATAATAGGCTTATTAATAGCTTATAATAATAATTGATGTATTAAAAATATATATGTACCATGATTTATGCATTTGAAGGTCCATGATATATGTATGATATGATGTATATATATATATATATATATATTAAATGAAATGACATGAGGTGACGTAAAAAATCACATTTTGACGTATTGCACAAATCCGATTGAAAAACGTTTGAAACTATATACAAGGCTAATATGAATAGAGTGTAATTTTAAAATACATATGTAAATTTGTTACTGTCCAAAAATTGATTTGAATAATTTTCTATGTATCTAACACTACGGTATTTTTTATAATAACTGCAAATTGATTTATAGAAAATAAAATGGAAATAAGTTACGAGTATGTTTTTATTTTTCAAAATATTTTACGCGTTTATTAACAAATATAGATGATCATAAGTATTAGAAATATACATTATTTTTATTAACATTTATTTTTGAAAGACGTGAGAATAAATTTTCACTTTATATTCCGCACTAAGCGGATTGTTCGTATTTTTTTTATGTGCTGTTACACTATTGTAAATATGCTAAATCGTACATAGCTGCAAGATTGAATTCGTAGAAAGATAAAACAATGATTTTGAAAGTTATCTCATTCACGTCTATTAAAGTCCATTCCAATAACATTGAGTACCGAACAGTAAATGTATGGCTTTCGGTTTGGTACGTATATTGATTTACACGTGTACACGTAGTCCGTTCTTTAAATATTAAAATGTATTAATGTCTGTTTATTTAATTACACGTATTTTAAAAGTTCATATACACGTGTATTCCCATACAAGTGAATAAAAATGCATCTTTATTACACCTTTATTACAAATAAAAAGGTATTTAAGATCCAGAAAACTTTATAAAATGTTTTTTTAAAATGTATGTTATATTGTCGTATAATTCTGACGTAAGTATACTATAAAGGACTCATGATTTTTTTTTTTTTTTTGTTATCGGCCAAAAGTTTCTATTTATAAATATGTGGCATAGTGGCATAGTGGTGAAAATCTAAAATTAATACTTATAGTTATAATTGTTTTGGTTTTGTCATATTTTTTGAAAAAGTCGTTCTGAGATTAATTTATTAACATTTTCATATGACAGTGAAATTTAATTTAGTAAACATCGAAATGTTAAATATTTTAAGTACAATGGAATTCTTGGAATTCTCATTGTTACTACAAAATAAATGTTAAATATATTATACGCCAATATTCGTATACAAAAAAAAGTTAATAAAAAATAAATAAAAAAATAATAATATAATTTTAATATTTATTACTCTTTATTGACTACAATTGTTAGTACAATTGTTGTATTATATATTGATTTTTTTTTTAACGATAGATAATAGAGATTGTCCCGTGGAAATTTAATTTTATATTATTTAATTTTATTTATTTTATTTCTTATTTGATTTTTTAAATTTAAAAATTAATTTTAAACTTATAAATACACGTTACACAGATGCTGGTATACGGACTTTCATTGCATGAACTTTAACACAGTTTCCATAAAAGCACGTACGTTCATGTACACACGAAATAGAGATCCCTCCCAATATGTATGTTATAATTAAGGCTTGGAAGTTGATGACCTTAAAAACATTAAAAAATGACCTAAAAAAATTACAAATATTTGTTTTAATTTTTGTCGTTTCAAACATATTACGATAAAATAATAACATATATATATAATAATATTCAATACAACGTGACAACGACAAATATAATCAGCGAAATAAAATCGGACAAGTCTTAAGTTAACGGCATAAAGGTCAATAAGAAACAATAAGAAGTGAACTAGTGTGTAATCAATAAAAATTACTAAAAATGTCAAAAAATGATTTAATAAGTAATAAACACTAAAAAATACAAAATAAAAATTAGTTATTCTGATTCACACACTAATGAAACACATTTGTGGCCAGAAGAGCATTGTTCTAAAGCAAGTTCTAAAAAAAAAAAATGCAAAATGCATCAATTTCCGAGCCCTAGTTATAATACAACGAATCTGAATATAAGACATACATTATATACAGTGGCATATTTAGAGATTTAAGGATAGGGGAAACACATATTTTTTTGCCCTCCCCCCTGATAAATAAACTTTCATTATTATTTTGACTTTTTTTAATAATTTTTTAATGCAGTTACAAAAAAAAGACCAACAGAGAAAATATAATAAAAGACTTATGTATACAACATAATTTCTATTTTTATTCATATTTTTCCCGGAGTATCACGAACTCATGACCACCATTCCCAGGGATTGATTCCCTTATGGTATAAAGTATACATAAAGTAATTAATAAATCGATTAAAGATTTAAGTACTAACAAATGTAATTCAATAATAATGTTGTAGTAATTTTTTGGCATTTGAATAGAATTCATATGTATTTGTTTTATTCATACACGCAATTTAAGTACAACGTTTTAATATTAAAATTGGTCAAGAATTGTTTGTTGAATAAAGATGAATTTTGAAATTTGGTTTTATGGATATCATTGATCACTTAGGTTTAGTGCGTCTTAATTTTGTGTACTGTTTGCAAGTTCTATCAAACGAATTTATGAAAGTTAATAAGCTAAAAATAAATCTAAACATTATTTATTCCATATTGATTAATAAACAAATGTGATTTAGAAAAGAACATAAAAATAAAATAAAACGCTTGTGAATTGACTGCCCGTCCAATATACTCATAGTATATTTATAAAAAATTACCAAGACATTATTTGACGTGGAAACAAGTTTTCGCGCACTTAGAAAAAAGGATTATATTAGATAGGAACTTATGAAACCAGCAGGTATTTCAATAGTTAGAACCATCTCTAGAAGGTCTGTTGAATAGAGGGCGGGATTGAAAATTAAGAAAATTGGATAAAGAAAGCTGGAGAATTGGATGTGTAATGGGATGGTCTTAATAACCGACAAATCCCAAGAAGAAAAAGAAGAAGATGCGTCTGCAGAGATTATGTCACTAGTATGTTAGAATAAATTCTATTCTTAGATAACATTATTAAACGAAAAGTAGATCTCGTGTCTGAAAATATTTTAAAACAGTTAATATATCAAGTTATTTCAGCAAAATAATTTTCAATTTTAATCGATAAATCCGTTGATTTCTAAAATAATATCCAACTAAAAGGTATTTATACGTTATAGGTGTCCTGACTATTATTTTGTGTGCCATTTTATATAACTAAAACTGGCTTAGATATTTTTAAAAAAATTGATAATTTTTTTCGAAAAAAAGCCTAGTTTGGATTGACTCGTTGGAATTTGTTATGATGGTGCACTGACTATGAATTTAATTTTGAAAACAATTTCAGGAAGTTAATACAAAAATCTAAATTATTCATTGTTTATTACACAGATTGAATTTGGTAACGCGAACAATTCAACCAGAACTTTATATATTTAGTATTTAAATGACATCCTAAAATGTTATTCAAATAGTAAATTTTATAAAATCACGGACATTAAATTCAAGAATCTTCCATCCCATGTGTGACAAGATGATGGAATCGCTGTTATTTGATTTACTTTATCACTCAGGTGTATGTTAATTATTCCGAGGAAAAATTCTTTCTCGGTCATGTCTTTGCACATAAAAACACATATTTTTCAAACAAAATAAAACTACTCATTGGCTGAAAAATTTAATAATGATGTATGTATAATCAAATTTGCTTTTTAAGTGATGTTTTTGAACTGTTAAATAAGTTGAATGTTGAAATGCAAGGAAAAATCGAATAATGATCGATATTGGTTAGAAATTTTGATTTCAATTATTAGGATT